CTTTCTCCTCATTTCTTTAAAAGAGCTGTGGCACAGGCGTAACATATGCACACACAATACTCCAGCCTGCAACTCATTAGTGCACAGCGTTGGAGCCTGTCCAGCGCTTAGAAAATTTCCTGAAGCCTATAATAACAGCGGTTGGTGCAAACGCAATTGAAACAGGAGTGACAATGAGAGTCGATCCTGCACACCTGGCTTTGTGCCTGGGCTGGAATGCCAGCACAGTGGAAGAACCGCAGAAAGCGAGTGAGCACTGAGAGGCTTAAAGTGTACCTGTCAGTCGTGCATGTGATTGGCAGACATTGTGTTGCCTGGATCAATACTATACACCTGGCTTTGTGCACCGATAGGAATGCCAACACAGTGAAAGAGCTGGGTATAATGAGCGAGTGTTGAAGATTGTACTTGGCAAACATGCTCATCAAGAGAAGCCATTTTTGGTCCTGAAGCAAATCTGTGCACCTTGCTTTGTGACTAGTTAGCCATGCAAGCAGAGGGGAGAAGCAGAGTAACATTAATGAGTTCTGCAAATTTAAAAGAACCTCTCGTGTCAGGAAATAACTTGTACAGTGCAGAGTCCAGAAAGGAGGCTGCAAAATCCCAATTGGTTTTAGGCAGATGGGGCCCGACTACAGTAAGAGCCTAAATATTAGTTCAAGAGCAAGTTGGGCTTTAATTCTGGTGATGTCATTGCCCCACAAGCAGCATGTGGCTTACTGTCCCTGAAGTCATCTGTGTCAGGTTTAATGTCCTACTTCCAGGTAGAAAGCAGCAAGAAGAAAATTTAGTGTGTAGTTGAGTAAACTGGGAACTCCACAAGTTATGTATTAATCAATGGGTATCCTGATTTTGTTTGTGCATTTTATTTTAAGTACACAGCAAAGCATGCCGTTATACTAAGGATACTAGAAAGAGTGAGGGGTGAAGATAAAAGTAGAGAGGGAAGAATAGAGTAGAGGGGTACAGTATAGAAATTGGCAAAAAGATTTGGAGGGCTATATCAGTCAGTTTACTCCATGGGCTTACACTCTGGTTTATAATTTGTAAGGATTTTCTTAGATTAGATTAGATTTGGAACTGAAACCAATAAATTCCTGTTTTTTAAAAACTGGGGGGAAGGGGGGACTGTAAATCTAATGGGGATGTGTGCTCTGGCAGCATTTAGTAAATGGATCACCAGAGGCTGTTTATAATACGTTCTGGAGAGCATGCTAAGGTGGAGGAGGCAGGCGACAGGGTTTCCCTTTAGGAATATCCCAGTGAGTCCCTTTATCAGACCACAGATGTCTCTCCAGAATGGCTGTAGTAGTGGACAAGACCAAAGAACATGGAGCAAGGAATCTTCCACTTTACAATGGGTATTTTTTTTTTATATACCGCTCACATATGCATTGCATAGGCAGTCATCTTGTGCTCTGAACCATAATGCCGAACTTTGGTAAAGCGTCAACCAGCCTCATATTTAAAAGATTAAAAGCTTCTCTACTTAGAAACAATTTGTTTTTCCTTAGCCAATTTGGAAAGATGATCTGATTTTTTTTTTTTACCTTTCACAATGCCTAGGATTTTTCATTCTACATGGTGAAACTAGTTCCTCCACTTGTATTGCTTGAATTGGTAAAGGCCTACAAAATGATTGCCTTCAGTGTGTGAAGGAAATAAATACATTAACACATATGTACGCTTTTGTAGTCAAATTTGATTTATGTTTATTAGGTATTCCCATTCACACAGCATACCTTATAAAAAAAATCTCCTTACATGTTTCTTAAGAGAGTGTGTGTGTGTGTGTGGTGGGGTGTTATTTTGTACATTTTTAAACCTTTGATAGGACAGTGTTCTAATGTAGTTTACAGCTGATAATGAACTGTGAACACAGTACAGACAGGGTTAACTATGTTAAACATTTCTCCACAGTCCCTACTAAACATTACACAGCAGGGAGAATATGTAAGGATTAAAAAAAAAAAAAAGAAGTAAAAAGCAGTTAAAAAGGTAACCAATAATTTTATATATATATATATATATATATATATATATATACATATATATAAAATTTTTTAAGTTTTTTTATGTTAATGGGAACAAATATAAAGTAGGTATTTACCCAATTTGGCTGCAGAAGTGGAAATAAACTTTTTAAGAAAATATTTGTGTAGCTTGTAATTTTTGCTGCATAATAATTATTTATAAAAATCCAAAAAAGTAAAAACCTTTCACCCAAAAAATTAGCCTTCTACTAAGTAAGTTAAAGCCATATTCAGGAACTTATTGTAGTTGTATATAAAAATTAAACTGAATTATGTTATAAAGGCATACTATTTCACTTTTCAATATCAGCCTAAAGCAGGGGTGGACTGACCATTTGGAAACTCGGGCACTGCCTGAGGGCTCGGGATCAGTAGGTGGCCCCATGAGATGCCCCTGGTACCTTTTTCATAGGCTTTTTTGAGTTTGGGCAAGGACACGGGCCCCATGATCCCCTATTGCCAGGGGGCCCCATGAGTTCTCAGTCCGCCCCTGGCCTAAATTTTAGTTTTAATAATGTCCAGTGTTTGTGCATAACTATACATTATTGAATGATAACCAATTGGATTCTTTCTTAGAAAATGGAAGCAGTCACTTAACTAGTTACTCTGCATTTGCATCACTTGGCATGACATCAGTCCTTAGCGCATCTCTTGCATATTTCTAAATATATTAGCCTAAATAAAGGGGAACTTAAAAGAAAAGAATAGGTCTATTAAAAAACCCAAACATTCATACTCACCTCAATGCTGCAGCCGTCCCCACTGGCTCTAAGACAGAGTACTCAGTGGTCACATGACCTCTGATTGCTCGGGTTCTCTGTCTTCTCAGGGCAGAGCAGAGTGCTCTCTGCTTTGCCCCTCCAGCACTGGAGAACCAGGCTGGAGAGGGACGGGAGCAGTTAGCTTCAGGCCTGTGGGTGGATCCCAACAGTATAGTCGGGATCCTTACAGAGCCTGCAATGGCTCTGTAACGTCAGCTGACATCAGGTTTTAGCCTGCTGTTGGCTGATTCTGGGTCACTCCTGTGACCCAGAAGAGAAGTATGGCCAAAAAAGCTTTGGGCTTGCTTCTCTTTTAAAGTGCAACTGCAATCCGTTTTTTTTTTCTTATTTTAAACTTAGAAATGATGAGGGTTTTTTTTATTTTGTTTCTACCCCTATTAGGGAGCATTTCTCCTCACTCCCTGTCCTGACAGTGACCACAGTGGTAGGAAGTGGGGGCAAATCTCACTAACAGGAATAATCATATATAAGCAAAACACATATATTTTGTTTACTTTAGCATAAGCATGGGTTTGAAGCCCAACTCTTGGCTCAGGATTTTTCTGCTCTTTTGGCTCCCCTTCCACTAGAGCAACATATTTTTTCCAGTTATTTTCAGTTTGGTCAAGTGATCACACAGTTCCTCTTCACCCCAATTCCTCCTTCAGTGGTTTGATGGGCCCTAAATTTTCAGAGAGCAAAGCCATATGGTGATGTGGTGCCACTATGCAGTGACTTTAGTTGGGGGGTAGAGCCTTGCTTATAGGGAGTGGGAAGAATGACACGGGCATCACTCAACCCAGAAAAGAAATGGTTCTGAATTAGTGCCTGGATGAGTCTGTGGGGACAAGGCCAGTGATCGTTTGTTTATAGCAGCCCTCAAAATAAGCTGAGAGGGGCGAATGTGAAGCCACAGCGGAGGAGGGGCGGGTGCAGCCGGCAGGCAGGGTTAAACAGGAACTTAGTCTCCTCCCAGCCTTTGTCCCATCATTCTCTTAGCAGAGAATGAGTGCTCCGCAATGTGCAGCTGCATCATGAGTAGGGGAGGGCATCGCCGGCAGGCGGGGTTATACAGGAGCAAAGTCTCCTCTCAGCCTCTATTTCCAGTGTGGAGCCGCATTGTGATAGGGGGTTGAACAGGAGCTGAGTCTCCTCCCAGCCTCTGTCCCGTGTCATTCTGTTTGCATACGACCTGGCATACGGGAGTCGGCAAAAAACTAGATGGGGTGTTGGGCGGGTGCTGGTAAAGTTTACTTTTCCTATAATCTAGCTGGTGATTGGTTGCTTAGAATGCCTAGCAACCAATCACCAGCTTGTTAATAGGAAAAGTTAACTTGGCCTGCTCTCGCTCGCTCCCTGTCCAGTGCTGTGCTCTGCTGTAAGTCTCTTCATCCTAAATGAGTCAATCATTTAGTTTTAATTTTTTTAATGCTATATTTAATATAGCAATAAACTATTTATTTAGCAAGGCAATAATGAGTTCTAAAGTGCCTATAGTAGCAAAACATATTTAACCCTTATTTTATTTATCACAGTCTGATCAATGAAATATGATTGCCAATTGCTGGTATTGGTTATTTTAATTGTGTGTGTGTGGGGGGTGGGTAATGGGGGTATAGGACATGGCTGTGGGGGGGGGGGGGTGCTGTGATGGGGGTAGAGGACATGGCTGTGGGGGGGAGGGGTGCTGTGATGGGGGTAGAGGACATGGCTGTGGGGGGGGGATGCTCTGTTTATAAAAGGTTTGGGCAGTTACACTTAATATTTTGTTTTCCTATTAATGTAAAGCACTTATTTTCCTTTTATGTTTACGTTGCATGATGTTAACCAACTGACCTCCAGAGGATTTACCCCTCTTCCCGACCAGGCCATTTTTTGCGTTATGGTGCTGCGTTACTCTTGCGCGGTCATGCAACCCTGCACTCAAATGGTATTCGGTGGTATTTGATTGCCTGTGTGTTTTTTATTTTTTGTGCTATTAAAAAAAAAAAAAAAAGACTGACCAATTTTGAGAAAAAAAAACAATACTTTTGACTTTTTGTTATTAAACATGTCTAGTAAGAAAATATAAAAATATATAATTTCATCATAAATTTAGGGCAACATGTTTTCTGCTACATGTCTTTGCTAAAAAAAATCCCAATACGTGTAATTAATTGGTTTACGTGAAAGTTATAGCGTTTACAAATGGCTTTCAATATACTGCAGCGGGACTGCGGCGGGCATTCTGACACTGGGGGGAACTGACTTGGTGTCACTGACATACCCAGTGACAGCAATACATTGATCAGTGCTGAAAAAAAGCGCTGACACTGTACTAATGGCACTGGGCAGGAAGGGGTTAACATGAGAGGCGATCAAAGGGTTAACTGTGTGCTGGGAGTGTTTAACTGGGGGGGGGGGCGGTGTGTTGTGTTGGTGCTTCAGTGTAAGCACACTGCTCTGGATGGCTGTTCTGTGCATGCAAGTCGATAGGGTAAGTAAACAAAGCACTAAGATAATTATTTAAGAGGTTATTGGATAAATTAGCGTGTCACCCAATGTATGGTCTCCATTCAGTAGCCAAAAGAGGCATACAAAAAAAAAGAGGGTTGTGAAAAGAGATTCACAGAAAAGCGGCTACATAATGAACAGAACGTGACACTCAGGAAATAATTTCCAAAAATTATGCTTTATTACACATATTATAGATATGACATATGGGCATTTGCCCTGGTTTACCATCACCTCAGTATGAGACAATACACACAGACCTAAAACCATTTAAAATGACACCAGAACCGGTCTAAATGTGTGTGTACAGCAGGGAAAATGGCTACATGAGTCTAGTGTCCCTGTAGCACAAACACATAGGTGAACACTTCCCTAGGGAGGTGTATCCAAAAATTATGCCATGGGCATACCAAAATGGAGGATATAAGGGATTAAGCAGTAACCATTATGGCAAATCCCTATCAAGGAATCCAAAAATTATGCTATAATGTGTATATCACATATATGCAATTGAGCAAGCACAATATGCGTCAAAAAGGAGAGTAGCAGGCCTCAGGCCTGTATGAAGAAAGTCAGGACCAACTGAGTGAGATACGCCCATCGGCGAAACGCGTTGACGTCATACGTCAGATACGTCACTTCCGGTCATGCGCACTAGGTGGAACGCACGCTGACCCATAGGGAGGAAGCCATCTTCACAAGCCATGAGGCAAGCTTAAGCAGCACAAGCGCCGAGAAGGGGCTGGAACCCGCGGTATATCGGCGGATGTCAGCGGTGGTTCCTTGGCCGCCTTGGCCCTGTATGGCAGTACCTATGAAGGACTTTTCTTTCATTCCTGTTATCCATAGCACAGGTGGTGAGTGGATCGTTACAGGACATTAGATATATGGTCCTCTGTGATCTATATGACCTATATATCTTCCATAGAGTGTTAGCTCTGTCAGTGACTTTCCACATATTGTTTGTTTCACTACAGGATGGGGACATCATGGTGCTATGTATAGGAAATAAGATATACCATCATATATATCTCAACAGGCAGAAGAGTCTTTGGGATGTGTCGTATCTTTTCCTACAAAAAGTGGTGTATAGTCCACATGCAGTGGTGAAGAAACCATTTCAAGCAGAAATGCTGCTGTGTGCATCTTTTCCTCCATCCTGGAAATAAATGGGGCATATTCCCATCTAAGAGCTTTAGGAAACAGCTATCTATATTACAGATGAATGGGCCCCAACCACTTGTGCCGGCACAGGAATGTATTGTATAATATATTTGACATTTATGTCTTTCTTCATACAGGCCTGAGGCCTGCTACTCTCCTTTTTGACGCATATTGTGCTTTGCTCAATTGCATATATGTGATATACACATTATAGCATAATTTTTGGATTCCTTGATAGGGATTTGCCATAATGGTTACTGCTTAATCCCTTATATCCTCCATTTTGGTATGCCCATGGCATAATTTTTGGATACACCTCCCTAGGGAAGTGTTCACCTATGTGTTTGTGCTACAGGGACACTAGACTCATGTAGCCATTTTCCCTGCTGTACACACACATTTAGACCGGTTCTGGTGTCATTTTAAATGGTTTTAGGTCTGTGTGTATTGTCTCATACTGAGGTGATGGTAAACCAGGGCAAATGCCCATATGTCATATCTATATATGTGTAATAAAGCATAATTTTTGGAAATTATTTCCTGAGTGTCACGTTCTGTTCATTATGTAGCCGCTTTTCTGTGAATCTCTTTTCACAACCCTCTTTTTTTGTAGTAAACAAAGCAGCCCGCCTCCCCGTCAGAGATCCTCGGTAATCACCGGGCACTGGCAGGTAATCACCGGCCGGGACCCAGTGATTGACAGCCGGCCTGACCAGTGATTCAGCCGTAGTTTCGAATGGTGGTGCGGCTCGTGCATGCCCCCTACCCGAAAATGCAACATCGCGTATATATATGTGATTTTGCGCACATCTGCCGCCCTGTAGCAGTATTTCTGCTGTAAGGTGGCGGGGAAGTGGATAATATTGTTAAAGTTGTTGTTAATATTTTTTTTTTTTTAACTTAATTCTGCATAAAACATTTAGCACTGTAATTTTGTGAGATAATTTACGAGGGTGTGTTTCGGGGCGGAATTAGGGGCAGGGTAAGGGTTGAGTGGGGCAACTGGTGGCGAGTAACTCTTAAGGCCTAGCTAGTAGCTCAGGACTTGCAATTTTGAGCCCTGTCTATGGCAATTGGAGTTTTTATCCTAAAGCCCATCTTGGGCTTTAAAACCTTTTTTTCAGCATCTCCATTGAAGAGTACCCCTCAATTACTCATTTCCAATGACAGTGGTAAGTATCATCCAAAAATCTCTGTGGTTATTTTCTGGTGCCGGTGCCCAAAAGTTGTAAGAAGCACCTTTGTCAAAATTGCAGAACCAAAAAAAAAAGGAATTGGGGAGAGCATTACCATGTTAGAAACGTGGCCTTGCACATTTGTAGATGATCAGGGTAACTATGATTGCAGTTTGGAAAACATGTATATAGGTGCCAGTTATAAAATCAGAAGGAAAGGGTAGAAATAAAGTAAACATTCTTCATACTCACTTCAAATAAACAAAGCCTTGCGCTTATTAAAACGAAGTGTGTCGGATATTTTAGGTTGTGTTTTGCACAATTAGGGCCTAGGCTAGGTGATGTCATACCTAGTTACTGTTTTTCTATCAGCCGGCTGTTGTTACATTAGAGTGATATCATGACCCAAAAATTATAAACATATCATCATCTCGCAGGCCTGAGTAACAGAAGATCAGGAACGTTTTATTAAGTTTGTTTTCCTTGTCATGTTGTAAAAAATTATGTGTTCGGCCTGTATTAAAAACAGATTGGGATAATTCAGTCGCTCGTGAAGTCAGCTCCAGCCAGTCTCCAGCGCTTGGGATTGGATGGGATGGTTTTTCCATGAACTGGGGCACTTGCTATGTTTGCTGGTTTCCCCGATGACTCATATGCCCTCTGAGACAGACGCGGTGAACCTGTGTTTTGTATTAGCAACAGAATCAATACGAACATTCTATTGTTTTATTAAACTACATTGGGTTTGTTTTGAGTTGCTATTTTCTGTGAACAAAACCTTATTATGATTTTTGTTTTTTACTTTCTTACTGTACCTTATTGCAAAAAAATGATCTTTGTTATGTGCTTCCTTGCACCCAGTTCAACCATTGATATTAATAGGAAAGCTTTCATTCTGTGTATAGTTGCAGTATGGACTCAGCAGTTTGATGAGGGGCTTATTTGATATTGTTTGACCTAGATAGCCAACAGATTCTTTAAAATATAGAGGAAAGCAGAAGAAACCTGAATGTTGTCACTCTTCCACATCAAAGATTTGGGAGAAAAGGTTAGGGCAACAAGATCCTGTGTTTTAGATTGTCCCAATGCTGTATGCATGTAACATTTCCATGTGCACAAGCATAAGGTATTAAAGGAAAAGTACAGCCAAACCTCTTTTGGCTGTACTTCTCCTGTGGATCATAGGAGTGCATTATGTTCTGCACTCCTGAGACTGTTTTCAGCTGGCAGCGGGCTAAAGTCACTTAGTTCCAAGCTGGGGAAAGATCCCGACTTCAAAGTTGGGATCCACCTCTGAGTCTGGAGCGGCACCTGGCTCAGCCTCTCGGCGATCTGCTGAGAGCCTGATCCAGTCGCTTCCTTCCCCTCCACAGCCCAGTGTTCGAGTGAGCACAGGTGGGGCAGAGCAGAGAGCGGTGACTGACAGTCACCGCTCTCTGCTCAGAGCAGCTGTGAGAACTCGGTGATCATGTGTTCGCTGAGGTTTCACCCTTAGCGCCGGCGGGGGACAGATGTAGCATCGGACCGATGCTGCATCCATCTAGGTAAGTATATATTTTGGGGAAAAAAAAAGCCATCCCATACTTCTTTTAATGAAGCCTTTTGGTTGCTAGGATGCAGGTGGTGATTGCCGCCTAGCACCTTCGTTGCTAGGATGCAGGCAGTTATTGCTGCCTAGTGTTTTTCATTGCTTGGTTGCCCAAATGCTGTATGCATGTAATGATTTATTTATTTATTTATTTACTACAGCTACTTGTATAGTGCCGACAATTTATGCAGCGCTTTACATATATATTATACATTCACATCAGTCCCTAACCCTCAAGGGGTGTACAATCTAAGGTCCCTAACTCACATTCATACATACCCATATTAGGGCCAATTTAGACAGGAGCCTATTAACCTAGCAGCATGTCTTTGGAGTGTGGGAGGAAACCGGAGTACCTGGAGGAAACCCAGACAGGCACAGGGAGAACATACAAACTCCAGAAAGGTAGTGTTGTGATTGGAATTTGAACCGACAACCCTAGTGCTGCCAGGAGGAAGTGCTAACCACTTAGTCACTGTGTTGATTTCATAACATTTACTTGCATGCATGAATAATTTAATGCAGCATATTGGTTGCTAGAAGGCGGATGGCCATTGTCACCTAGCAATCTATGAACCTGAGGTGCAGTTCACCATTGCTGCCTTGTGTCTTTCATTGCTACAACACAGGTGGTTATTGATGCCTAGTGTGGTTGGTTGCTTGGACGCAGGCAGCTTTTGCACTCCAATCAGGTAGGTTTGTGCTGTGTTCATGTAAACTTTAGCACAAACTTTACATGCACACATTTCACATGCAGGACTGTAGGCCCATATTTTTCTATCATGATGTTTAGGATGTGAATGTAGGGCAAGTTTACTGATCTTTATGTAGCTGTGTGCCTTGGACCAGATAAAACTGTAGGCCTGCATTCAGATCTGTAAAAAAAAAAAAAAAGTTTTTTGCAGTCTTGTGCCTGAGCCCTACAGCATTTCCAAGTAAAAATCGGTCGCAAATGATAACATGCGTGGTACAAAAACTATAAAAAGATAAAGACGTAGAACTTCAGTTGTTCTTTAATCTCCACCCAGGGGGTGATTTTTATAAAAATCTCTCAGCGAACACCTCTCCATCCTGTCCATTTTGCTTCTGCAGGGAACTCTCTCAAAAATCCTTCCCTTC